GGCGAGAGCTGTATAATATAATGAATACTCTGTCTCTATCAAAATTTGTCTAGTTGACTGCACAAAAGCCCCCTGCCCCCCGTATTCTCATGCGACGTAGTTTCGATAGGGAGAAGTGTACACTCTACTTTCAATTCAAACATTCTTGTAGTGTTTCGCCACAAGAGGTCGCAGGCTGCTCAGTATGCCTGTCCAGTTTTCTACGACAAGTAGTACCATGGAATTATACGTTTGTACTGCCCAGAGCAGCGCGCTCGCTGGCACAATGCGAGGGTGGCCCAACCGTGCCATATACATCGCTTCCAAGGCTAGTCCGCCTGGCATGCTTGCAGGGTCCCGCTAGACACACCATCGCCCAGGCCGCTAGCTGCCGTGCTCTGTGCGCCGGCCGCAATCAAACATTGTCTGGCTTTTGCACGGCAGGGCTTAACGCAGACAACGCGCATGTACTTTGAGTGTTCCTGCAAGGCTAAAAGCAGCCGCGCTAGAATGGTATTAGGTGTCTTTCCCCTAGGGCTCTGCGCGACGCGCGCACTCTTGGCCATCTCCACTGCTAGCTCCGTCACGGCCCAGAGGCGGACAGGTAACCTTAGGGGGTCAAGGTAGCAAATTGCGATTACAGTATCGCAGTCGCATCAATCGCTTCTACTGCTACCATACGACTCAGGCTGTACTGCGTCCTTCTGCTATCAAGAGATTGAACCACTATTACCTGCTGGTTTTTACGGACGTACGAAAGCTCTGGCTTCCCTTGACCGCACTCTGACGACGAATTTCTAACGTCTCGTCAAGCAGCAACACGGTCCGTTCGCTTTCTATGCCCATCATTGCGAGTACTATTTGCATCCTTTCCTACCTCGTCGAGAGTGTCACATGCCGTTTCCAGCGTTGTTAGGTGTAGTGCGGAGTAGCCTTCGTGCCTGCACACGGCGTAGCCCGTAGCCAGTCGGCGCTTTATCAAGTCAAATTCATCAACTTACGTAGAGAACCTCCAAGGAGCTGCTGCCATAAATAAAGCATTCAATTGCGGAGGTATAGATGCTTAATGCATACACAAAGACATATGTATCGACCAAATTTCCGTTCGATTCGCTCAAAAATTCTCAAAACAGCCGAGACTTGAGCCGATCGCGGACGATAGTCGGTTCAGCAAGTCCGCAGCGAATTGCTTCCCTCGCACAGGAGGTTCTTCAAGCACTTTTGAAATGTCTTCCGAATGCTCGCAGATAATGTCAATCACTGCTCGCCTCATCTGACATTGAGCATCTGTGGTCGAAGCGTATAACTCTGGTATGCAGTCAATGAACCCCTGGCTCGTCCATAAGCTTTTGGCCTTGGTCTTGAGTTTTCCCAAATCGTAGACTTGAAAATCATCGATGCCGAAATAATCCGTAAATTGGTACACCCGCACATCTCGTGTGAGTCTCTCATCATCAGTACACTTGTTACTGTCCGAGCAGCAGCCACTCGGTTCGAAACTTGCCTGGCGCATTCAGTTCATATCGGACTCGTCAGAGTAATTCCGTAGATACGTATATCGAATTACTCTGGCATATGCTTGAACGCTTCTTTCAGAGAAACTGAAGTCTCGGTTCTATTCTCGATAAATCGAGCCGCAACATTGTGACCATCTTGTCCAGTGTACTTGCCTAGCAATGCCTTGGAAAAGTAAGGACTCTGGGTAGCGAGAACACTGCTATGGGCTTGGGATTCAGTATAGTGGTAAAGAAATGTGGAACGGTGTTGAAAGACTACTGGTAGTCGCAGACGAGTCTACATCAAAGAAGCGCGGCTGACTCACACTGTTTATGCTTAGAATAATCAATGCTTTGCGATGTTTTCACGCTAATAGCTTGATCGCTACACTTCACTGCAAGTTTTGAGATTGGGCATTAAAGGTTCTCCGTAGTCTGCTACAGTATAGTCTTCCGTGCTTCTAGCTGTGTACCTTGTAGAGCCTGCCGATACTCTGCCGCTGATTTTCCAATACACAATCCTAAGATCGACCGAGTTTGATAGAGGTGGGGGTTGGGCATATTCCGATGTAGCTTCTCAAGCCACTCGTCGGCCACGCTGACCTTGGGCGACCGCAGTAATCTCAGCAGACACTCATCCTCGTTGCTCAGCACTGCCTCAGATAAAGCGTCTTGAGAGATGGCGCTGTTGAGCTGTATCTCATTGCGGTTCAACAGCCACTCAACAAGATGCGCTCTCCGTCCGCATGCGGCAATGACAAGAGCAGTCCGGCCGCGGTTTGGCCATCGACACTCATCATCATATGGTTCACTCTCATCCGTGCTGGCGGACTGTTCGCTCCCGTCCGTCTCGCTAGCGCATTCTATATCCTCAGCCGTCCAGCAAGGGTATTCTTCGTTCACGCACGAGCCGTTGTTATATAACAATTCTGCCATTTCCACACTGCCACTCTCAGCTGCTATGGCAAGCACGCCCGGGGAATTTTTGATCTGCGCCTTTGCATTGCTTTGCAAGAGAAGTTTGGCTATTTCCACATTGCCCGTTCGCGCAGCATGCTCAAGAGGCGTCATGTTCCGGGAGCCACCTCTGGCAAAAGCGTCAGCCTGTCATTCAAGTAAGAGGCGAGCCAGTTCTGTGTTGCCAGCGTCAATGGCCTCTGTTAAAGGCGTGCCTCCTCCCCTAGGCCATCGCTCATTGAGGTTGATGTCATTTGTGCGTTCTAATAGCATGCTCCAGAGTTCCTTTTCTTTACAAGCCGCCCAGTCGAATAATGGCATGCCGTTCGTTTTGAAGCTCACGTCGACGTCAGGTTCCCGAAGTATGAGCTTGGCGACGTCGTCAAACCCGTTTTCGAAAGCCATGGCAAGCGCGGTGACTTTGCGCTCCGGCTCCCGCTTGTTAACATTTTTCGTGGCTCTCAGTGCTATTTTGGCGAGCTCCAGTTTATCCCATTTTGCTGCATAGAATAATATGTCGTTGTTGTAAAGCCTTTTGTTGAATTCATACGCCGAGTGACAGGTTTGCAACAAACTGTTGGCGTCAGGGCGACTCAGGTTGTCCAGTATGATTTGCAATATTACATTTGGGAGCGTTAACAGTGAACGCCTGTGGCACCGCTGCGAAACATCGGAGCACTCCGCCATGTTGTAAATCGTCAGATGAGAGAATAGCACAATGCTGCTGTCTGTGATGGAGGGGGGAGGCAAATGAGAGACGCGCCGCGTAGATCGGAACACGAGCATCACCCTATGCCTGAGCGATTTTCAGGAGGGCGAGAGGTGCAAAGCACGCGGGGCTAGGCAGAGCAGGTGGCCGCACGCTTGCTCTAAGAGACGCCGCACGTTTGTCACTGTATTGGTTTCTTTGCTGCGTATGATTCAGATCACAGTCGGTGGTTGAACTGCTTCCACAATGTGTTGGATGGTCTCGCAGGTTGCAAATGTGCGAGAAATGCGGAGGCAAGGATAAAAGAATCTTTGCCAACAGTCGGGCGACCGCTTAAATGAGTGGGCGGTGCTGCAGCAGCAGCTAACCATTCAGGGCATCAAGGTACAAGACCGTGGAGCCAGCGCCTCAGAGAATACATCAGTCGCGCATGCAGCGGCCGTGGTCGCGTTTGCCTGGATTTGGAGGAGGATGGCGCTGTAGTGCGTGGGGCTCACGTTGCGGCATGGCCTGGTTCTGATTGTGGCATCTCGTAGCTCTGGCCTACCCTAGAGGTAGCAGGACAGGGTGAGTGGATGTCCGTTGCTGACGGGTATTGATTCAAACATATATATGCCATTAGGCGTGACACTGCTACGGTCGGAGGATGATGACGGGACCAGTATTCCAGGGGCAATTAGTGAGAACATGGGCGCGATGCACCTAGTTAGGCGCAGCATCTGCAGTGGTGATGTCAAGATGGCTCCTAGTCTGACGTCGCTTTTGCTGCTCTCTTTTCGCCTCAACGCACAGAGTCTGCAAGAACAAGTGGAGAGAAACTTTGCTTCTAAGTCGACTTGTCTCCAGCTGCGGCTCTCAAGGGTGCGCAGGTAAGAGATAGTGATCCCCTCGCCTTGCTGACAGTCACGCAGTGCATGCACCGTATGTCGCTCAAGATTCTCGTTCAACTCTCTTGTGCATTGTTACTACAGGCGTGATTGATGCGACACGCATCCTCGAAAATCCCTGCATCCGATCCATCTGCCCCTATGGGTAGTCCATTTGTTCGAATCATTCCTGCATACCGCTCAGATATACTGTTGAACTCATGGACGTTTCGCAGCGATAGGACAATGTCTGGTTGAGTGTCGTCGAGAGCCTGGGCTAAACCACAACCAACGGGCGACAGTGCCCACCACCCAACGAATTCGCCGCCGTCGGCCAAGAGATCAGACCAGACACCGAGGCCGGGCACGGGCGTGCCGGCTGCCAATCGTGCGGCGTGATCGTCGGTGGCTTCTTGCTCGGTGAGCGCTCGCTGGTGTATGAATCGAAAGACTTCAGGACGCGAGTTGAGCTCTTTGAAGTGGACGAGGTGCGCCTCGTTCAGCGGCTGAAGATGCAGCCGTGGTGTACTCATATACTCTTGTACCATGTTGTGTGATGGTAGAGATCTTGGCTTTGGGGTTGCATTGGGGACCTGAGAGGATAGAATCTAAAATCGGCTTATCAGATACATCGTCGTGCACGCCGGATGAGTCACTCGGGATGGTAGTGGCAAAGGCCCTTCAATCGAAGAGAATAGATATGCAAGAAGTACATGTAATTTCTGAAAGGGACCGGACGTCACACAACCTCATGGAGGTGCCTCTGAGTTTTCGTGAGGTCCAACTGAATGTTGCTCCTCCCCAGCGCTGATAGAGTGCTGGTAGCGGGCACACAGCGACCAGCCGACGCGGTAAGCGACTTGAGCACAGGACCAGTCGAACAATACGCCAGCCTAGTCTAGGAAGATGACGGATGGATTTCCTGCTGAAAGTGTGTCCACAGTCAGGCGAAGCCATCGTCCAAGCTCTCTTTGCCCCAACTGGCGCCTGCAACCTCTTTGCTGAAAGGACATGGGTGGCTGTCCGATACAAAGGGGATATAGTCCGACGGGAAAAAGAACACCTGTACCCATCTATCCACTGGTCCCCAAGGCGGGAAATACATGCCGACGGGTATTGTAAAAGTGAGCCATGCGGTTGCAATCAATATTCCTGCGAAATGACCTACCGTGCGGTGCAGCTGTGGCGGCGGACCCTAGTGAAGACATCTAACTACGGAGTGATGTTTGATTATTCGCGTATCTGAATAATAACAGAGTATTAATACCAAGCACCACCGATAATGCATGAAAATATTTTAGAACTGCCACACAATCTAATTCATCTTGGCGTGCCTATTTGTTCTACATACTATGTAGTAGTATCGCAGTTCGCTAGGAGATCTTACTACGGAGTAATAATCGACCATGGTTGCATACCAAGCACATGGTTCGGATGGCAGGCTGAGCCGCCCGGATCCCGCAGTTATTAGTAATTATAGTTCATCCAAACCATGGCGTCGCAGTCCCGCTCCAGTTCCATTGTGGCGACCAGTGATCGGAATGGTCCGAACTGTTTTGGTCTTGGTCTGGTCTAGACCGCCAAGACTTGGTCTGGCCATTTCTCCAGACCATGGTCTAACCGGTCCTTGGCTGGTCTGCTGTAAATAGATCAAGCTGGGGGGTGGCTGGTGGCGGTAAGTGGCTGTAATTTTGTCCGTTACGGTTAGGCGGGTTCGTTTGCTTTTGCTCCGAAGGTTTTATCCATTTAATAAAATCGTAGCCTGCAACACTACCGCATCGTCTTGCTTTATAGTTATCAAGTCCTATACTATAATGCCAACACAGGAATTCCTCAACGGATTAGCCTTATTAGTTTTATTGGTCCAACCGGTCTGCCACTTTGTCTGAGCCCCCAGATCAACCAGACTAGACAGACCATTCCGATCATTATGGCAGCCTAATAACAAGTCGCGGACAGAACGTTATATGAACTTGACCCGCCCCTCGTGTGTGGTTAGATGCGATTCTGTATTCTTATAAAAGTGCTTCTTTGTCTTTCTTAGATATACAATATTCCTATAAACGATTTTATAGTAGGTATGCTATAGGTCTAACCTACTAGCTAGTTAATTAACCTACTAACTGACTAGCTACTAAACAGCTAGTTGACCAACCTGCTAGTCGATTAACTGCTAATAGCTATTTAATCAACCTACTAACTGACTAGCTACTAAACAGCTAGTTGACCAACCTGCTAGTCGATTAACTGCTAATAGCTATTTAATCAACCTACTAGTTAACTAGCTGCTGTACAGCTGGTTGATTGACCTGCTAGCTGACTGGCTGCTGGCTGGCTGGTTGGCTTTCTAGTTGTTGAATTACTGGATCCTATTCGCCACGCTCTCGGCGTGGCCCTAGTGTTTCAACCTCGGATACAGGAATGCAAAATTCGGTTTGTCCGCAACTCACCTATAGGTTGCCGTAGATCACTGGTGGCGACATGCCCGCCCACCACGAGGCGACCACGGAATTTACCATGCGCAGTTCCATCTAAAAATACGGCCGAGATGCACACGCTTGGCGAACTGGCCACACTCTAGACTTTACTTTTCAATTACTCTAACCCTCATGAACTGCGCTGTGGAGTAAGAGGTTGTGGACCTTGCTTACGATGTCATTCCTATTGTTTATGACTGGATAGCATAAAAATGAGAAGTGGACAGCTTCGCTACGTGAGATCTCGTAGTCTAGCGTGCCTCTTAGCTCTATTTTGCATATTTCGGTTACTTCGGTACCCAAATCGCTAGAATAGACACTAGTTCATTTTAGTATAGACTTACGAGCACCCCGAACTAAACAACAACCTCTCACACCATTCAGCGCGATTGCGGAACTCGGCGATAGACAGTAGCAAGTATGACTATTATGGCTTTGAACTCCAATTAGCCGAATAATTATCTCATGTCTCTATACATCGAATGAGATTAGAAAAAACCTTGCAAGCCACGAGGCAATCCACCCCCAGTAGGCGGTAGACAATGTACCTTTGTGTTGCCGCGTGAGCAATATAAGCACGATACTACCGAAATACAGAAATCGACCTGAAGAAGAAGAAGAAGAAGAAGAAGAAGAAGAAGAAGAAGAA